CTTGAATGCTATAATTAAACTTCAAATCAAAGTAGATTGTTATAATCAAATAATAACTCATCTTTTATAAAACTCCATTTTTATAAACTTTACATTAAATTTTATAAAACTCTTATATTAATTATGTAAAAGATGCTTGTGTTAGTGGGAAATTATGAAGACCACCAAAAGCAAAAAGATTATTCCCATGGTCTCCCACTCACACCTCCCATCCACTTTCCTTTCCTTTTTCTCCCAACACATTATTCTCTTCACCACTTAAACCTTCTCTATTCTTTCTCTCACTCTCAATCTCGAAATTCATCCAAGAAATACTCATATTCCATCCAAGAACAATCTATTATACTCAAATCTTCATCCCTCTTGAAGCATTCATCAAGGTATGTTGTTAAAAGTTTCAAATTCATACAAGAAACAAATTAAATCCACCAAAATATCTAAAACTCATTTTATGCATAAACCTGATTTTTCTCAGAATCCCATCAATAAAATAAGAAGTTCTGGAAATTTTCAGAAAATAACTTATTTTTATTGAATTACTATAATTATTGCAATAAAGTAGGGCAATAATTCACATAAAATACTTCTTGCATTCAATAAATTCTGAGAAAATTCTGGGATGACCAATATATTGATTAAACATAATTTATGAAGTTTCATGCATTTATATTACTGTTTACTATTATTTATGATTTTATTGATTAATTAATAATGAAATATATAAAAAATACTTCCCATAGTCACAAATATCTGAAACTTATACACTGAGCTCTACATCATGTTATAAAACTATGGTTAATTTTACAGATTTTTTGAGAATCATTTACTATTTTTCCCGAATTTTTTGTTGTTTAATCATTAAAATATTAAATAAATACTAAAACAGTTCAGAAAAATATACAAATTTTACAGTAATTCATATTGTATGAAATAATGATTTCCTAATAATTTCATAATTTTTCAATACTGTTTACTATTTACAACTATTTTCCTAAGTATTTAAGCATGTAAAAAATGCATTTTAATGATTATTTCATATAAATAATTGTTAAAATCTGTAAATAATTATAATTGGGCAAGTTATTATTTTAATAAGAAATTATTAAAATCTGGCCTAAATTGAAAATATAAATTAATTATGCAAAGTAAGTAATTCAATTTAAAATTCATTTAACAAATAAATACCTTAATATTATAATCAAAATGAATTATTGTTAATTCATCTAATATAATAATATGTGTCTAATTATTTGTATTAATACTCCATTCTCGTTTAGCAGTTCCTAAACCAAAACTATTAATTATATTAGGTTCTACGTCATTTTGACCCGAACCGTCTATCGTACGACACACGCATTTCGTTTTGGGACTAATGTGAGTAATCTACCCCATATTTTATAATTTTCAATACTTTTGGGGTGTATCATGCGGTTCTAATATGTTCCAACTTCATTTTATTGTTTTATCACAATTGAGACATTGTTGGGACATTTATACGTGAGTCATTAATTGTATAACTATTGTTTGTTTACGCTACATGTACTTGTAGTGCATTATCATTTTTAGTCTAATCTCCATGACTATGCCCGTATTCTTGAGGTACGTTATGGACAATAATAGCGCTATTGGGTTGACCACCCCGCCTTGGGACGCTAAGGTGATTGATCGCACGTGGTTGAGTGTGTATGATGATTAGATGCTCCATCCTATATATATATATATATATATATATATATATATATATATATATATATATATATATACATATGTATATATAGGGTGAGGACTTATTGTTGTTGTTATCATTTGTTAATCAATTTTTGATTTATAAACCGTTATCTCAAATACAATTGTTTGCCGACTTCAAAAGAAAACAAATTTCCAATTATAAAGGTTTCAACTTCATAACTTTCTCTACTAAAATTAGATTACTCACCAACTCTTGTAGTTGACCTGTTTTTACCCATGATGCAGATTTGAAGAATGAAGTTGATGAAAAATAGGTTGTGCCTTAGAAATCCACAAGACTATTTAAATTTGATGTAATAAATGTTGTTCGTATTTGGATTTGTATTTGTATGTTGTGGATCTTGTTTGCATACTTAGTACTTAATTGAATCTAATCATATTATAACATAGTTGTCATGAGACTTTGAACAATATATCACGCCTCGATCGATTCCGACAAGGATCGGGGTGTGAAAACCGACACTGTTGGAAACATTTGGAGATAATGATTGTGCCATTTGAAATTGTTTTTTTTTTTGTTTTGAAGAAATGGGCTTTAGTGGTATAGAAGGCTCTTTGAAAAATCAGAGTTCCGTTTTCAAAAAGCAACCACTTTGGCTCTGATACCAATTGTTGAGAGAAAAACTTGGAGACACACTTGAACAAAAGTTAGAACAAGTATAATGCGGAATAGTTAATCTCAAATGATCTAAAAGCTCAACAATAATATAGTTAGATAGTTAGAGAGTTAGTTGCGGAAATGTAAAGGAATGGAAATGACATCATTTGTTATATCAAGAAGACACTTAAGCTGATTCATAACAAGGAATGCATTCACTCCAAGTTAATAAGGAAGATCAAGCTTAGTGATTAAGTCTTAAAGACTTGTTCCGAAGAGGGATTATGATCAGCAGAATTATGATAAGATTTAAGTAAGAAGAGATGAGTGAAGAAAGATAGAGAGATAACTTCAGAATGTGTATTCAGATAGAATTCATAAGTTATCGGTTCTTCCTATTTTTTATGAATACAAAGAGAGTAAGTCTATTTATAGAGACTTAGGAACTACACTAGATTACAACTCTATAAGCAGCCGTGCAAGGCATACTGGATAATAGAGTGTATTACATAAAAGACAAATAAAGTAATCTAGCTAAGTTGACTGCGGTAGCTGACTCCGGTTGCTGATGCGGTTGCTGATGAACAAGATTGACTCCGGGTGCTGAACCGTTGCGGTAGAAAGATGGTTGCGGTAGCTGAGTTCAAGAGGGTCACTTTTATGATTCAACAATAATCCACTACCATCAATAAAAGAGGAATACAAAGTCTCCTCTAAATATATTAGAAGTATATAGTAACCATTAGGGAAGACAGCTTATCGAAGTATATGGAATCAAAAAAACCAAAGAAGAGGAAGAATAATCTGAAAAAAGTTTACTGCCTTTCAGCAACAATAAATTCAAGCCTACGGACGTAAAAACAAAATCTAATTGTTGAAAGGGAAGTGATTCGTACACAACAGTTTTTTGTCATACACAAAAATTCATGCATTATATAGTTGTACAATACAACATTTTAAAGCACCAATTGTTGTGTATTAAAAAACGTGAAAAAAAAAATAATAAAACTCTTTCTTTTCTCACTCAATTCTAATCGGCAAAATTGACAAAACCCTAACATATGATTATATACATAGTTAATTATATAATACGCATTAATCAGCTGTATGGCACAAGCTTACTATCCATATAAATCTTTCCGTGTATGTTTATAACTGAAACATGGGTCCGTCTCTCATTATGACATTTAGAATAAACATCGTATTATTTGAGTTTTTTTATTGTTTTTTCAAACAAAAAAATTATTAAAATTGAAAAAGTTATAGGGGGTGTTTTATTAAATCAATTTCTTTTCTAGGTATTTGTTAATTAAACAAGCTGGAAGTTTTTCATTTGAACACTAAATGACTAAAAGTCTAAAACACTCTCCAATTATTTAAATATGGGCTTGAACACCAAAAAAAAAAAAGTTGGGTTGAATTTTTTTTTTGACAAGGCCGTTTGTCAAATCATTTGGACTGTGGTTATTGGGCTATTTGAAGTAAATAAAACTAAAGCCCACCTTCTTGTTATTACCGGCTTAGCAGTTAGCAGTAAGCATATGGAGTTCTGCATAGCAACAGGCCAACAGCCACAGCCACGGCCCACATGTGGCCAACAAGAGAAGCAAAGCATAATAGAGTAAATTACAAATATGGTCTCTATATTTTACTCATAATTGCAATTCTAGTTTATTTTCTAAAAATTTCCAAAATCATCCCTAACATTGGTTTCTATTTGGCTATAGTTCCCAACTAAAATAGAAAGACTCGACACGACTTGTGACATGACACAAGATAAACGGGTTTGTGTTGGGTTTTTCAATCCGTCAACCTGTTTATTAAACAAGTCATATATGAGTTTGTCAAAAAACATACAGGTCCTACCAACATGTTTGGAATTTTAATAAAAAAAGTTATATATTTTTTAAATGTCGTAAATATTATTCGTAGAAATGTAGGATACTAAGATAAGATACCATTGTCTTCCGGTTATTGACCATTTGACCCATAACCTTGATGTTTAGTGAGTTATTTTTAATGACATTTATATATTTTTACTTATATGTGTTTTAACCTTGCATATTGTTTCTATTTGAAGGTTGAAGTTCTATCATAAAAAAGAAAACATTGTTGGAGAATTGATTTTGTTTTTTTGGGAGAAAAAATGGGAATTGTGGCTATAATTACATTAGCACTTGATTTTATCTATGTTTGTATTAATGTTTTAGTTTGAACATGTTTCCATGAATGTTTTTAATTTTCATTTGCTTCTAGAATTTATTTATGTTTGATTATCTATTTTATTTATGAAATTTGACCCACGAACCCAAATCTAACCCACAAATCCGCCAACCTGTGAACCCGTATATATAAGTGGGTTGACAGGTCGTATATGGATTTATGTTCCAAACCCGCAAACCCGTGACCTATATAGTTAAATGGGTCATGTTTGGGTTGGTGTATTTTGATGCGCCACTCGTCAACCTACGACCTGTCAACCCAATCATGACACGATTACCGGACCTACTTTTGTATATTTTCTCTAAAATTTAGAGTTAGTGATTAGTGATTAATGTGTCATGAACGATTTGATTGTAATAATTTTTTTCCCTTCGATCTTTATATAAATCTAAGATGCGCAATTTCCATTTGAATAGAAATTGGTCCAAACATGGAAGACTAAGTAGGAAATAAACATGGAGCACTAAATAGTAAATAAACTTAAAATTAGTGTACAACATTACTAGAAGTATCATCTAAACTCATCGAATTATTGCTTTGCAATTGCAACCTCATCTCAGATTGAAGGATCCAAATCCAATGGAAGGAATTCGAATCCGGTTGTTCATCGTGCTTCTTTACTTTCTCTCCATAACCGTACCTTCCATCTACGCCACAGATTTCAACTACTGCAGTGAGTTTCTAGTTTCATCTTTCAGTGTTCTGCGATTTAAGCATCTCGAATTTTGCATAATTTGATATCGAGTTTGGGTTGATTTCGATTTAATAATGCGTTATTCCTAATTTTCTGGGAATTTTTGTGCTTTTTGGGAGACTGATAAATGGGGAATTCGCACAAACTTGATCTTAGATTTTGGGATGTAGTTCTCTGATTATAGTGTGTCAATCAATACCTATTTCTTTTCAACTGCGAAATTGATATCATCGATTTTGTCGCCAAAAGAAAATTATTCTAACTACGTTTTTTTTTAATTAATCACCATAGTTTTGAATTTTGATGAAATAATGGTCTTATATATGCTTATTATTTTAATTTTAATATTATAATATATGTAGATAAGAAGAAAGAATATGCCGTTAAGGTAAGTGGAGTTGTGATCAGTCCTGACCCGATAACAAAAGGCAAAGTCACCTCCTTTACTATTTCTGCATTCACAGGTAAGTTGTTTATTTATTTATTTATTTTATTAATTAACAACAAACCAACGTTTATTTTTATATCCTTACTTGAGTTTTGCTTTATTTTTTATAAATTTATACTCATTTTTGGCATACAGATAAAGCATTATCTAGTGGGAAAGTTGTAATCGATGTTGCTTACTTTGGATTTCATGTCTATGGTCAGACCGGTGACCTTTGCGCCGAAACATCTTGCCCAATTCTTGCTGGCGACTTCACCATTTCTTATTCCCAACTCTTGCCTACATATGCTCCCCCTGTAAGTGGGTTTTACTGATACTGAGTGTTACAGTGTGACTTGAAATTTAGTGACCTGAACGAATAACCTGATCAAGATTGAAGTGGAGAAACCTGAATGACGATTTTAAAAGGATAAGTGTTTGGAGTAGTTAATATGTGTGTTGTTTTATTGCTTTCCTTCATTGCTTGTGTAACTCTGACAAAATAAAAAAAATCTTGTGGATATGATACAATAAGTAATAATGCGGTTTGATGAATACAGGGTTCGTACACACTTACGTTGAAGATACAAGATGGTGATAAAAATGAGCTCACATGCATCAAATTTGATTTCAGCATTGGTTTCTTCTTTGACTCCAAGAGAGGACTCGCGGATACTTGAGTTCTTGAAATTCAATACGAATATCTTCATGTTCATTATCTTCGATGGTTTTATATGACTGATTATGGTTATTATGTACCGATTTAAATGTATGGATTGTATATAGAACGTGATGATTCGCTATTAAATCGTATATATTTTTAAGAAAAAATAAAATAGTTTCTTGTTAATGAAAGCGTGTGACTTTCCCATGAATGAAAGATAGCATTAGAATTTACAATATATACAAATTAGAAAGAGAGTGGGCTACAAGAATAACATGGGCTAACTATACTTACTAATGGCTATCTAAAATACTATAGAACACATACACTAATAGTTAAAAGAATCATATAAGAGGTTGCTTGGGAATTTTTCCTATACAGAAGTGAAGAATCTTTCCACGTGCTCAAACACTAACTTTTAGAAAAGGTTGAAACTTTACAGCTAACATACCCATCAAAATTGCAATATACCCTACAACAATCAAGAACCCTAAATACCAATTGCCCCAATTTTGGGAATTGGAATCAGAAAGTTCCTTCATATCCAAAACAATCGAGATTTGAGATATGACCATTACCCTACCCCCACACCTTTTGGAACTCAAAAAGTTCAAGAATATATTGACAACTCAAAAGGGTATTCTTCTTTTCAAGATATATACCCCCGTACAACTTCAAATGCACTAGTTACAATCAATATGGAGGAGATAATACAAGTATACAACCATGGATGACGATGTTCATGTCAACTAAAAATGGTGGGCTTTCCAACATATGTACAAACTCCTAATTCATAAAGTACAACTTACTTAAAAGATAATTATTATCATTACAACAACTACAAAACCAACGTATAGCTTTCATTACATATGGTACAACTCATAACAGTCATATTAGACATTCCAAGTTAGACACTTAAGACATATACACAGTTAAGACTTTTACAAACAGTTCCCTCTCCCCATAAAACAAGGGAAAACTCAACACACAAAGTCAAAGACTTTGAAACCCCATTTACATTTAACCTTAAAAACACTCAATAATCACCACTTTTGTGATTTTCCATATTCAAACCAGTCAGGTACAAGAAACATTAGTAAAAAAAAGCTCACAGCTTTACCCCGATAACTCACATGTCCTCTATATGACAACCTCAGTTACCGGTGCTGACGTGGCATCGACCACCACACCATTAGTGGCAGGTGGTGGTGGCGACTGAGTGTAGTGAAACTCGATCTGTAGCCTGTGATGAACTGGACTTGAAGAAACCAAACCTTTTTTGATATCTGCTTGCAGTTCCCTTATAGGAATGGCAGCCAAGAAGTTCTTAATATACTCCTTACACGATTCTTTTCCATAGCAAATCTTATCGTCGGAATCACTAGGTTGCTCAGCTGCCGGAGTCTGCTCGCCGGAATCCATGGCGGGAAGTCTGAAAATTGCTGAGCTCCGATCAAACTTCAAGATATAAGCTTGATTGCAACCTTCAAAGAGTCGTTCCCCTAAAGTGTCAATTATGTAATAAGCATCTGAATCGACTTTCAATACAAAAAAGTGGTCGTTCCAGCTAACTATGTAAACTTGAGGTTCGCTGTTTGTAGAAGCTTCTGATTCATGGCTAATCTCATCCCACATGTTATCAAATGACATTGCTTCGTGTAAAAAGTCAAAACTACCCTCGTGGAGTTCATCGGGGTGAAAAAAACCGACAAAAGATTTTCCGGGGATGACGGAGAGAGGGCGGAGATTGGCCTCGAGGACGGTGTCAAGATCAAAATGTTTATCTGGAAATCGGACCATGTAAGTTTCGTTATCACAGAGACGTCTCCATTCTGATGAACCTTCTCTGATGAGAGAATCAAATTGGGATTTAATCGGCATCAAATTGTGATTGTTTTGGAACCAATCGGAAATCACCGTCACAAGGGCGGTGCAAGCGCTTTCTCCGGCGGCCTCTTCACTACGTTGATCTATAGAAGCAAAGAAAACCTCCGTCTGAAGCTTCATGCACCCATCTCGGCTGATTATCTCACTCTGTTCCCAATTCCCGATTGCAAAACTGTCGTCCCCAAACTCAGAAGCCGGAAGAATTACCTGAGGTAGGTTAACTAGAGACTTATCGGAGCTGAGTTGCCGCCGGTCAAAGTCAATATCATCTCCACCTTCTTCACCGTAATCTTTCTTTAACAACGGTTCGCCCTTCGGTGGTGATTTGAAATTTAATTTCCTCTTCTTCCATGGTAAGATGCTGCGTTTCGGAATCTGAGTTATACTCTGTTCAGAACTCGAAGCGGTCGGGTCATTTTCCGGTGAGCAACGCTCACTCTCATCGGATTTCTGGTTACTATAATAAAGATTGTCCTCGAAAAGAGATCCACCGGCGTAATTTGCATATGCCAACGTGCCATAGCTAAATGATTTCCGAACGTTAGCATTCTCGAACGATTCGCCGTCTCCGGAATCATCGCCTGATTCAGAGTCAACAAGATTGGAATTGGAATTGGAATAGTCACCTTCGTCACTCCTGCTTTCGCTAATTTCATTATCATCCTCGCCGGAGGCTTTTTTGCCTCTTTTAATCGAGACGTACTCCTTGAAGATCTTAACTTTTCTTAATCCCGCTTTTAGTGCTGAATGCTCGTCTTTATCCCCCGATGAAGTTTCCGATGATTGATTTTGAGTTTGAGCAGCTCTCAACTCCATTAAACTGAGTGATACATGAAGAGATGGATGAGGCTCCGTCGATCCGGATGAAACAACAAGAGGGATATTGAGTTCGAATTCTTTTTCGTTTGCAGAAGTAGCAAATTCAGCAAGATTCAAGTAGGCTTTTCCGATTAAAGGAACCTTGTTCTTCAGCCCTGTGTTTGATCCCTGGATTAAAGCAAAAAAATCCGATATCTTAGTAAAAGCATATGATAATTCCGAATATATTATTCAATTAAACATAATCCGATTGAAATTCAATGCATATACATGAAAAGAAGATTCAGAACAATGTTAAATAATTATTAAAAATAAATTAAAAGGGGAGAAAATAAAGAACTCACAACTGTAAATCCAATCTCCCATGGAAGAAAGTCATTTTCTTTATACCCAGAAAGGGTACAAACTGAATTGAATTCTTGATCCCAGAATACAACACCGTTCGGATCAACGATTTCCCCTTCTCTTGTGAAATCCCTCTTCGCTGTTCTTCTAAATGAACCCAAAGTGATCTTGGGCCCTTTCCACTTGATTTCCACAACCCTACGATTATCCTTCTCTAGGTCGGAATGTAGAGGATCACAATTCGCACCCTCCATCTTCTTCACCACCAATTTCACCTCAAATTTTCTTGATAAAAGCGGCGGCCATGGCCGCCATTTCATCATCTTTACCACCATTTATATTCAAGATCGAAGATATACAGAAATTGAAGACGTGGGAGTTGTTCTTCTGGACTTTGAAAGCTTATTTCAAGAAAGAAGAAAGATTCAATGCGGGTTATTGTTCAAACTTGTGATCTAGTAATCTTGAGGTGTGGGTTTTGTTTGAGAAGAGAGGTGGATGGATTTGAGAGATGAGGAGGTGATGTTGTTTTTTCGCGTGGGTATAGATGTAGAAACAGCGGTGCAAAGGAAAGTTAGAGAGAGAAAGTCTGAGGGATATGAATCTATGATCATATGATACTTCATGAGGTGGTATTTCCTTGGATAAAACTTCAAAATTCAAAAACTACGGTTAAATACGAGAAAAACACTCTTTCAAATAACCATTAATAATATTTATAAAAGGTCACACCAAATTTGGGCTTGTTATATTAAACATAAGACAAAACTGCATTTTTGGTCCATGTGGTTATCCAAAAAGTGTGGATAAATTACCAAAATGTATTCAACTTGCATCATTAGTCTAAAAGCTGAAATTTTTTGTGGTTTTGGTCCCTGTAAATTTTAAAATTAGTTAGAAAGACAATTTTGCCCTTCCATTTTGTTTATTGTATTTTTTTATGTATTTCAGTAATTCAGTAATTGAAAAAAAAAAGCAAAAAGAAAATATTATCATCACCCTCCCACCCCTACCTCTTACACCGATAACCCTGCCCCTCTGTTACTGATTTAATTCACAATCATACACTGATACACATACATAAACTATGAACACAATGAAGTTCGGGGAAAATATTATGCATATTCAACACATATGAGCACACATAATGAAGTTTTGGAAAAACTGATGCAGATTAAACACACATATATGCACACACACACACACCTCTCTCTCTTGTGTCTCTCGTTCTCTCTTCCTGATTCAACAAACATACACACACGAACACATACTGATAAACCATATTGAGAACATTGATAAGCCATCACCTCCCTCTATTACTCTCTTTCTTAAGTCTCTCATTCCAACAAAGGATTTTCACCTTCGGAGCTACGTTTTCATTCGGTGAACCTCCAAGAGCGAAGCGACCATTAGTGTATGTTTGTAGTTGTTCAGATCCGAGGTTTTAGAGTTTTTAGATGCTCAGGTGGTGTCAATTTCTGTGTTCATCGGTGTATCTATATGGTGAAGGTCTGATTTTCAAACACTTGTTCAACACCATTATTCCATATCTCAATTTCTTGAAGGCCTAATCTTCAGATTCTGATTCAATTTCTTGAAGGTCCAACATGCAGATTCTGATTCTTCAGACATGGGTTTTAACTTGCGGTTGTTCTTGTGTGTGATGAACCCAATAGAGAAAGGGAGGGGTGGGGTTTACGAATTGGGAGGGTGGGTTAGGATGATTTAGAAGATTGACCCCATCTTTCATTAGAATCGCTTTTTAGGGGAATTCCATTTGAGATAAAAAACTGCTCCAGTTCTAGGGAATCATTTCAATGACGGTGGTGGCTTAAGGTTTTTTTAAGGTGGCTCTAAAATTATGTTACCTGGTGTTTTTGTCATTGAAGGGATGAAGAAGACGATGAGAGAAAGAGGGTTTTGCAAGTGAAGTGTGTGTGAGAGAGAGAGAGAGAGAGGATAGGGGTTACCAGTGGAGAGGGATGGATGGGGTAGGATTTTATTATTTTTTATTTTTTTAAACAATTAAATACTAAAATTAATAAAGAAAATAGAAAAAACAAATCAAAGGGTAAAAGAGTCATTTCAAATTGTTCAGGGACCAAATCCACAAAAAGTTTGTGATTTTGGACCAATGGTGCAAGTTGGAAACTTTTTGGACTCCATCTACAATTTTTTGCTAACCACAGGGACCAAATTTGCAGTTTAGTCTAAACATAATAGTAATAGCTATTAGACAAAACTGCACGAATGGTCCCCGTGGTATGTCGAAAATTGCCACTTTGGTCCAAAAATGTTTGGACTAGCATGAGAGGTCCAAAGTTTTCATTTTGTTGCAAGTTTGGTCCAACTTACTTTAAACTTTTTTGTAATGACGATTTTACCCTTATTATTTGCTTTTTCAGTTTTTTTATTTATTTAAATATTTTTATGATTAAAAAAAATAAAAAGGAAAATACTTCTCCTCTCTCTCTCTCTCCATCTCTCTCTTTATCTTTCTCCATCTCTCTCTCTCTCTCTCTCTTCATCTACCGCATATACTGCTCATCGGAAACCACTGATGCCACCGCCGGAAATCGTCGTAATCGTCGGAAATCGCCGCCATCGCCTGAGATTCATAACGCCAGAAACTCCACCCACCATCTCTTCAGCCACAAAGAAACAGATCGTGATTACATCGTCATACCAACAACATCTAACGTCTCTAAAGATCCAGCTCCCCATCGTCACAGTCATCCTTCTTCTTTGACTAGATTATGGTTTTGCCTCAGCCTAGCGTCATGAAAACCCTATCCATATCTATCGCCCCAACCTTCTTCGTGAAAACCTTACACAGATCTACAAACCTCGAGTTACAGCGTTGTCGGAATGCTTCAGATCTACACCGAAATGACACCACTATCTGCTATGAACCATCACCTCCGACGAAAGGGCTTAGACCACCTATTTTTTTCTGGAAAAATCAAGAGCTCGTACCATCTTTTGTTGCCATTCAAGGGTTCAAACATTTTTATCACCGGAGGCAACTTGTTCAGATCGAAAACTTCCATGGCAGGCAGAGGTAGATCTGGAGTGGAGCACGAATCTTCATGTCGACTTTCAGATCTGGAAGCTGTTGTCGCCACTGTGAAGGGTTTCAGAACTCACTTACAGTTTGCTAAGGAACTCTCCTGAGAAGGTGATGTGAAGATGGTGAAGATCGATTGTACTCACAAGAATAGGTTGCTAAGGAAGATAGGGTCGGAGATCTAGGGTTTGTTGAGGAAGATGGCCACCTCTTTAAACTCGTTTTCCAGGCCGTGGTGGTCATGACGTTATGAATCTCAGGCGATGACAGCGATTTCCGACGGTTACGACGATTTCCGGCGGTGGCATCGGTGGCTTCCGGTGAGCAATAGATACGGTAGATGAAGGAGAGAGAGAGAGAGAGATAAAGAGGGGGGGAGAGAGAGATAGAGAAAGAGAAAGTGAGAAAGAGATAGAGAGAGGAGAAGTATTTTCCTTTTTATTTGTTTAATCATAAAAAATTTAAATAAATAAAAAAACTGAAAAAGCAAATAAGAAGGGTAAAATCGTCATTACAAAAAAGTTTAAAGTAAGTTGGACCAAACTTGCAACAAAATGAAAACTTTGAACCTCTCATGCTAGTCCAAACTTTTTTGGACCAAAGTGACAATTTTCGACATACCACAGGGACCATTCGTGCAGTTTTGTCTAGCTATTACAAATACATAAGAGAATGCAAATTTATTTATTTTGTAATTTATTAAAGACAAATCTGCAAAATTGGTCCTTGTGGTTTACGAAAATCAGTGGATAGGGTCCAAAAAGTTTCCGACTTGCATGGAAGGTCCAAAATCGAATACTTTCCGTGGTTTTAGTCCTAAAATTAAGAAATTTCTGTGTTTTTGGTCCTAGGGAAACCTGAAAGGACGATTTTACCCTTCTAATTTCCTTTTTGTATTTTTTGTATTTTTATTTTAATCTTTTATCAATTAAAAATAGAAAAGAAAGGAATGAACCCACTTCACACTCTCTCTCTCTCTCTCTCTCTCTCTCTCTCTCTCCGATGACCAAGAATATCATGACTCAGACTCTTCCTCTCCTTTCGTATACTCCTCCCTAAACCCAATGACACCACTATGATCCGCTAAACCCGTGGTCATCGGCACCATCGTCGGCCACCGCCGCAACCCCATTTGGTTCGCAATTTGTCCCGATTAGCCTTCGAATGCCATAACTCACCAGAATCGATTCAATCCATGACTGTGGGTGTTGGCGTTATTCCATCTTTCCGATTTGAATCTGGCGGCGATTCTGAACCCAGATAAACCTATTCATCTCATACTCAAATCGATTCAATCTATGAATGCATTATGGAAGGACCATATTCTGAATCTTTTCATATGATTAATCTAGATGGGTTTCTTGGTCAAGAAGAAGATAGGAGAGACATGGAAGTCTTAGTCAAAATATGCATCTTTTATGTTTTTAATTTTTTTATTATAATATTAATTATTACTAAATAATTTATTTTCTAATCAATTAATATTATTTTTTATACATATTGTGTTGGAAAACATATTTCTAATATAAAAGAATAACTTACAAATAGATTTTAAAAAAATATATGCAAATCATACTATTTAAAAACTATGTCCAATGTAGGATATATGCAAAAACTATAATTCAATATTCCTAACAACTAAAAAACATAACTATCTCTAATACAGAATGTGCAAAGAGTCGACTTCAATATTCGTAAAAACTAAAAAAAAACATAAATTAAAATAACATAATCATGATATTGAGCCATCCTCAATCATTTCTATGTAACAAATCTTTTCTTCTTCTGTCATCTTAAAAAACGCCCGAGCACGAAATTGATCTTTGCTAAACATGTCAATCGCCTTAATTCGCTGTTTGACATTGATATTTGGCATGTGTTGTATATCTTCGATAACTTTATCTATCATATCACATGCTTCCTTATTTTCTTGCCTTCCTATATTGAATATTGTTTCATTAAGTTTTTCACCAACCTCCTTGAAAGTCTCTTTCATTTCTTTCGCTGCTTCCTTATAAGAGCTTTCCGTGTCATCCGTTGGAGGCCTTTTGCGTTTACTATTGACACGAGCAATTTGTTGCGTCTCTTCAACAATCTCTTCCAACCCTTCCACATCAACAGGTGAGTTTCTTTGTGTCTCTTCAGTCACATCTTCACCAAGATCAGTAGCTCCATGACCAGTAGCTCTATCCTTCCCAAATATTTTACATAAGTTATCAAATTGAGGAAATGGTTTATCGCGAAAACATGCAGCACCTTTACGACTCTACAAGAATGGCACAAAATTAATTGGTTACTATTCATTCACAATATATTTTAATGGTGCTAAAAATACTACAAACTTCATCATTGTAGTACCTTTATGTATTCATCCCAAACTTCAGCATCGGCAGTAACACAACATTTATCCGTATCCCAGCCGAATCCACTCGTGTTTGTTCCATATACCATGTCGTGCACGATGTTGAAATGGTTTTTCCATGTCTTCATCCTCGATTTAATATGAGGCTCTGCTTTCAAACCCGAGTTAGGAAGACTCACATCTAGTAATTGTTGCACTGCCTTCAAATACCCGGGTTTGAATCCGTTGTCGGCACCACCATACTTTCCGGATACATGTAACTCCAACAATGCCTCAATTAACTTTGCATCCTCTTCAGTAGTCCATGTGTATTTGTTTCGTCCTGCCATGTCTACAAAAAAATTTACATAATAGATGTTTGAAATATCATACAACAATCTTAACAGCTCCTGTTTGTGGCTGTATAACACAACCAAAACTTAACTAATTAAGCCGTTTTTCGATTCTAAAACATAGACAAGACAGAGAAGTACAGTTTGAAAAAAAAATCGCATCATTCTGAGCTTTTATAAAGCTTTTATGATGGTTCAAAGTTGGACAAAATTTATAAAAATTGTTGAAATATTATGCAGCAATCATAACAGCTCCTGTTTGTGGCTGTATAACTCAACCAAAACTTAACCAATTAAGCTATTTTTCGATTCTAAAACATAGACAAGATAGAGAAGTACAGTTTGAAAAAAAATCGCATCATTCCGAGCTTTTATAAAGCTTTTATGATGGTTCAAAGTTGGACAAAATATATAAAAAGTGCTGGAATATTATGCAGCAATCTTAACAACTCCTCTTTGTGGCTGTATAACTCAACCATAACTTAACCAATTAAGCTATTTTTCGATTCTAAAACATAGACAAGAGAGAGAAGTACATTTTGAAAAAAAATCGCATCATTCCGAGCTTTTATAAAGCTTTTATGATGGTTCAAAGTTGGACAAAATATATAAAAAGTGCTGGAATATTATGCAGCAATCATAACAGCTCCTGTTTATGACTGTATAAGCCAATCAAAACTTAACCAATTAAGTTGTTTTCCGATTCTAAAACGTAGACAAGATAGAATAGTAAAGTTTGAAAAAAAAATCGCATCATTCCGAGCTTGTATAAAGCTTTTATGATTATTCAAATTGGAGAAAAAAACCTGAAATTGTAAAAAAGAAAATGCTTTTGTTCTTTCAACTCAAGCATAAACAATGAACAAATAGCAATTGATCATCATTGAACACTTATCTACATGATTCAACCACCAAGATCGATTTCAACATAGGAAGATTCAAACATGCAAAAATAAGCAATTCATAGCAAGATTAACATATTCTTGAATTAGAAATCAAAAACAAAATTCATAGCAAATTAGCACATAATCGACCAACAAAGAGAATCAGAAAGAAACATGAAGTCATACCTTCAACTGGAAGATGATCGATGATGCCAAAATCGACCAATGCTGCTACAAAGAAAAGTGAAGGCGTGAATTCCAAGTTTCGAACAACACAGAGGAGTAAGGCATATGTAGGGCAAACGAGAATTTCTTGTGATCGTGGGCCGATTCCATGATATCCGGTACCGATTGTTTGAAAAAACTCGGAAATTGAACGTGATGTGGATCGAATTGGGGGGGGGGGGGGGGGCGCTATGAATTCTCCGCTCTTTTTTTTTTATTCTCGACCCACGCCTAACTTCTTTTTCTCCCATTTTCTCTTTTAAAAATAGAGAATTATTTTGATGGAAAAGGAATTTATTTATTTCCCAATTCCTTGTTTTTTTTTTAATAACCAAACAAGGGAAAAGTAATTAATTCTTTTTCTCTGCTTTTATTTCCCTGTACCAAACACCCCCTAAATATTTTGACAACTCATTGAGTAATCCGATAAAAAAAACTATCAAAAACCCTAACAACTCTCCTTGCAATCAAAATCCTAGGTGGCAAAACTTTCTCTCACTATCTTAGCGAACATACAAGAAGCAAATGAATGAAGATTTGATTTAGTTGGTTGTTGAGAAATTGTTCTTTTTGCTCTCTTTGAATCAACTATTAAAGATTATATGTCTTGCTTATATGTTATCAATACTAGATACAACACTAAACAAAATATTGGTTGAATAATTTTTGGTTCATGTTGTTCTAAATGGATCCAGATTTTGGGAGTGGAATATTAAATTTTAATTTGTTAATGCTTCTATTGTCTATATTTATGTGTATATGTTTGTACATCAATCCATAACAAAAATCATTATAACCTCGACCATCAAGGAATGTTTTGAGCATCGAACAATGACATTCTTTTTCTTCATTGTTATACTAATCTTTGTTAATATTTGAGGAGCTTGTTGCTCATTTATCATTGTCGGCCTTCTTGAATGACTTAGTGTTGGTGATTTTGTATCATTAATATTATTTAAATGTAATAAGATTAATTTGTTGATCAATGTTACTTTGATAAATATTTAACAAGTTAGGGTCGTGCGGAGTGCATATTTGTTTAAGTTTGTCTTAGTTGAAAGTATATTGTTATTTAAGGGTGAAGCCCCTAAACTGACGGGGGTCCGGGGCAGCGCCAAGGGGCGGCAACCACTAGCGGGGTCCAAGGGGCAGAGCCTGTGGCTTGGGTCAAGCTGTTTATAACAGTTTATGTGACAGGTTTTGGACATGAAGTTACATTCATGTAACTGTCATATGGCAGATTTAAGACAGAAAGTTAGTTTCCTGTTATATGATCATTTTCGAAATCAATTTGGTACACACATTATCATATCATCTTCTGCATTCTCTCTTCTAAGAATAGTGAGTTTTATCCGATTAGAGATTTTCGAGTGTACCCTCGAAATGCTTTAATCTGAAAGTGTTTCACAACTCTCATTGATCCGAGCATTCTATACCCCGTTTTTCTAACACTTAGTAGACAATTTTTCCAACCAAAAATACTTGGATCAAAACTTCTTAACTAGGAAGAGATACGAAAGTAACGAGGAGTGTGTTAAGCATATGCTTGTATTCATAGACATATAGTTCATGAATCTAAATTTGTTTCATGGGTATTTCATAAGAATACAAATAGGATAGTTGAGAAGATTTTATATAAAGCAACACCGTGAAAACTTTATTACAACTCTAATTCAGTAATATGCATATATTTATAGAGAACTTTATTATGACTCTAATGGTTTATAAATTTCTCACCGGTTATATTTTGGGATTTCTCCTTTTTCTCAAGAGAGATAAAGAATACTCAGCTATATCAATCAAATCTTTAATGTTGTAATGGATCTTTCTTCATCGACCACCATGAAAATGGCTCGTGCTTGTGCTTTACTATGTGATCTAGTTGTTCAATTCAAAAGCAAATCAGGTGAGTTTGAGCTTCTCAGTGCTTGCCTATGCATAGAAACCACCATTGCCCCTATTTCTTGCTAGAGCATATGTAGTTACCCAGATAAGCCCTATTTTTTTGCTAATGCATTTGTAGTTACCCAGATAAGCCCTTTGGACATTTGTCCACCACTTGTTTGCTGAAATGTCCGAAAGAACCTCATATGGAAATATACATATTGATATCACAATCTCATTAAGAAATATTTCCATATATCACCTAGCATAGGCTGCATCTTATAACATAAAATAAACTATAATAGATCACTTCACAATTCATAAAACGGTCACTAAATTTTAAAATCATAGATGCAATGCAGCCATTATTTGAGAGAGCATAAACATGCAAGTGGCAATTATTGTAAAGCACAAACAATTTCATAATTATTTTTGCAATCACTTTTTATTGGTCACGATGCCATATTTAAATCTGAATATATATATTTTTATTATAAAAACAATTAAAAAATTAATACCAACATTATCAAATAATCAGTTGTCTTGCCCTGTTAAATTCAAAACTATCAGATTTAAGCCTTTAGAATTGAAACTTTACGTTTCTGGACACAAAGTAATATCATAATATGTAATTGAGATTCGAGCATGCTAATATTTTCATAAAAACGGTTTGAAAGTTGCAACAGAAAAACCCATCACGTCCCCCCTTTGGCCTTTCCTCCGACGTCCACCGCCCTCCGCCCTCTCTCTTCTCAATCCTTTCCGCCATAGCTGTGCATCGAAATCTGCAAAATGGAGACTAGACGAGCCACGTTCAAATTCCAAAAAATTATATCTACGAATAACGACACACATTCCCTTTTCTAAGCTTTTCTTGTAGGAACCTGGTAAAACCATATCAACATAACTTTTCGATCATACCCTCCAATCCTGTGTTCTTTATCCATCAAATGCACATTATATTCACCTCAATATTCTCATATTCGGGTTCCTTTTTTGTGATTTTCGTGGAAATAATCCGGCTCTTGGAAAACTTTGTGGGTAAAGCTTATTTCTTTTTGATCTGTTGCTTCATACCAAAAAAGTTTGTTGACATTTCGTAATAGGATTGATTGAATAGAATAGGGCTTTATTCGTTTGGGGGGTTTTGCACACCAACTGTTTGTTTAAATTTCATATTCACTGCATCCTTTTCCAAAAAGTGGAAGTGCGTCGATGCTTGAATTTGAAAGGTCATAGTATGCATCTCTCTACCTTTTGGATAAAACTGGGTTAGATGGGAAATTGCTTAAAGGGTTTATGCTGGCGTCAATCACAGCCTCCACCCAAGATTGAACCGGATTTAGCAGACAACAAATCACAATCTAAAGATCCTCCACCCACCCAACAAACACCTCCACAACATGAGATAATCACAGAAAAAGATCATGAACATGAACACGAATCTAAACAAGAAATCAAAGTAGAGACAAAGCCATCCAGAAAGGTTTCATTAGCGAAGCAACAAAGCAAACACACACAATCTGTCAAAAAGCCTCAAGAAGTGAAAAGATTGTTAAGTGTAGGGCTTCAAACCAATCGTGTCCTAAAAACCAAATCCGGGAATTTAAAAGATTTATATCTCTTGGGTAAGAAACTAGGCAATGGTCAATTTGGCACAACATATCTTTGCAAAGAGAAGTCAACCAACAAAGAGTTTGCTTGTAAAGCAATTGCAAAAAGAAAACTTCTCACAGATGAAGATGTGGAAGATGTTAGAAGAGAAATTGAAATCATGCATCATATATCAGGACACCCGAATGTAGTTTCAATCAAAGGAGCTTATGAAGATGCAGTATCAGTTTATTTAGTTATGGAACTTTGTGGTGGAGGTGAATTGTTTGATAGAATTATAGAAAAAGGTCATTATTCAGAAAGAAAAGCAGCTGATCTTGCAAAAACCATTGTTAGTGTGATTGAAGCTTGTCATTCTCTTGGTGTAATGCATAGAGACCTTAAACCTGAAAACTTTCTATTTGTTGATAACCATGAAGATTCAATTATGAAGTCCATAGATTTTGGATTATCAACTTTCTTTAAACCAGGACAAGTTTTTACAGATGTTGTTGGAAGCCCTTATTATGTTGCACCTGAAGTTTTGCTTAAAGATTATGGTCAAGAAGCTGATATTTGGAGTGCAGGTGTGATTATTTATGTTCTTCTTTGTGGGGTCCCTCCATTTTGGGCAGGTAAGTTTTAATTTTCTTGGATTGTGAATATGTGATTGTGAATTGTCACTTTTGCCCTTTGGTTACAGAATCCGAGAATGATATATTTGAAGAGGTTTTGAATGGTAAAGTTGACTTCAGTATTGATCCATGGCCTAAAATATCTGAAAGTGCTAAAGATTTAGTTAAAAAAATGCTTGTTAGAGATCGTAAAAAACGGATAACTGCTCATGAAGTTCTTTGTAAGTTTCTCTTCTCCATTTTCCTCTTTTTATTTATTTATTTATTTATCATTTTTCATTCAAATTCTTGTTCTTGATAGGCCACCCTTGGATCAGTGTTGATGGTGTTGCTCCAGATAAGCCTCTTGACCCTGCAGTGTTGACTCACTTGACTCGGTTTTCTGCCATGAACAAGCTTAAAAAACTTGCTCTTAGGGTATTATTATTATTATAGTGCTTTTAGTTTTTTCAAGATTCAAAAGTTTCTTTGACTTTGGTCAAACCCTGAAGTTATTTTTCGGGTTTCAGGTGATTGCATCGAGGCTTTCAGAAGAAGAAATTGCTGGTTTAAAACAGATGTTTAAGATGATAGATACAGACAACAGTGGATACATCACTTTTGAAGAGCTCAAAGATGGATTAAAAAGTTATGGTGCTAAGCTTGAAGAGTCTGAAATTCATGACCTAATGCATGCTGTAAGTATATAAGTGATTAAATGATTTGAATCCATTCGGTTTTATATAAAATTTTCAAGATTTTAATGGATGCATGAAATTGAAAAACATAGGCGGATATTGACAACAATGGTAGCATTGACTATGAAGAATTTGTAGCTGCAACTTTGCATTTCAATAAAGTTGAAAGGGAAGATAATTTATATGGTGCCTTTTCATATTTTGATAAAGATGGAAGTGGTTATATAACTTTGAATGAAATCCAACAATCGTGTAAAGAATTGGGAATAGATGATGCACAAGTGGAAGAAATTATCCAAGAAGCTGATTTGAACAATGTAAGTTTTCATGATCTTACTTATCAATTTTGACTTTGACTTTGACCTTGACTTTGTTATATGTAGGATGGGCGAATTGATTACAATGAGTTTGTTGCAATGATGCAAAAAGGAAGTGGAACTGTTGGAAGGAAGGAACAAAAGAACAGCTTGAAAATTGGACTTAGAGAGGGATTTCCAGTTTCTTGATACAAAAGTTCACTTCTTTGTTTGTTTTAAGATCTTTATTCATGATCTTTGTAAAGTATACAAGCAAATATTTCGATAATTTTTATGTAATCTAACAAATTCTAGCAAAGATTTTGAGAGCACATAGAGTTGGCTAGTTGACACAGCTTGAATTCAAGAATGTATCATTTTTTTTGTATGTAAATACATGATATGAAAAGATTATTCATGTGGTGCATCTATAGTACTATAATTTCTCAAGCTTATTTTCACCAAATCATGCAACATATATGTCATGAGGTATGTTATTAATACATTGGATTCTTTATATAACCCCAAAACCTCTATTTTTAGAGAAATTGACTTTAAATCCAGGCGCCAAATGAAAATACGTTAGAATCCTCGGGAAGATTGTGAAATTTTGAGGAAAGCCAATCACCCATGAAAATGACATCATCCGTATATAATAGATGTGACAACATGGGCCACTATTTGGTGTTTGAATCCCGTGGAAAATAACCACATCAGATTAATAATGTATATTTACGTATAGTAAATGTATGTAATTATAACAAACTCACAAAAACCAATGTGGTATGCCAAATGAGATGGACTCTCTAACATACAATTAAATCATATTAATATGCAATAAAGGGAATTGAGTAATCTAACCATAATGTAATATATATTTGAAGAAAATAACAAAAAAAAATTTTTTTTTTTTGGTAAATATAACCACTTAGTCCGGAATAAGTATTCTAGATTAAGAAAAAAAATTATTTCTTCTGACAAAAAAGTACATTTCAGACTAACATTCTAGAATTCCGGACTGAAGTTTCGGAGTTCGAAAAAAAAAACTTCAGAATTTCAAGAACAAATCTGAAATCCGATATACAGTTCCAGATTTCATAAATAAATGTCTAATTAATCTGATACATGAAATGAGAAATTGTGATTTTGTTATCACCCATTCTATCAAATTCTACACCCCTACCCTACCCTACCCTACCCTCTAAAAATGTATTTTGTTAACTTGAAATTACGTTCTAATGTGACACTATTACAACCTCACACAAATCATAAGTCCAACTGAGATAGACTCTCTAACATATAACCAAATTACATTAATATGAAAATAATTAATGGGTCATATCTAAAAATGAGAAAAGTGGGAAGTTAATTATGTATTTGATGATTTTTTAAAATAATGATTAGTTGGATCCTTATCAACTTTGATTTTAATTGTGGTTCATATATAAGCTCACAAATTAGGTGATGTACACTCTTCGTAATCAAGGACCAATTTTAGGCCCCAATTCCTTCTTTCCATTTAATATTTCACTTTATAAATGCAATTGGAAATAAACGCGATTATGAGGCATTGTTTATTTAATATTTGAGATGAGATAAAACATGACCCATTAAAAAATTAGAAAATTTAGAAAAAACAAATAAAAACGACATCTTAATGATTTTGAAGGATAGAAAAAGTGAAACTTGGACATTGTTAGAGAAACGTCCAATACAATTTTCAAATCATCTAATTTTGTCGATTTTATAATTTTTAAATTTAATAAATTTATTATAATGATGTATAATTTGTTTGAGTTTAATATAAATATATAATTTTTAGCTTGCGAATAATTTAGTTAATATTAAGGTAAAAAAATAACAATACATTTTTTCAATTTACTTTACACAAAGTAACTAATTTGTTTTGCTTGTCAAATTGCATTTTCAGAAAGTATCTTACTTGTGTAAGGCTCAATGGAGTAGTCGTGAGTCGTGACATACGCCACGTTTTACCAGCTAAGTCATGGCGCACACTGCCCATGGTGTGTAGCCTAAGTCGAGCTAAGCTTCCCTTTAGTGAACTGATAAATCCACTTCCACTTTTTATCCATCCACTTAATATGTATATGATTTTCCTTTTATACCCTTTTAAACGGATTGATTCCTTAACATGATTTCTCTCCTACTTTAATTTTGTAACCTATTTTTTATTTGATTTGTATAATCGGAATCACGTCCCTATTTTTTGATCCAATGATTTAATTTTTAATTTTTACCTTATTTTTATATTAAGTTTTATAAAATAAATAAATTACTTAAAATTTTGAATAAAAAATTAAATGGAATAAAACATGCAGACTTGATACCAAAACCACACCGCCGTTTATCCGAATCGGATAAAAATCATATGTATGTGAAAATGTGTAATATAAGTTCGAATCACAGTCAAAAATAGTTGTCACAGACTGCAATTTATAACATTTCTCTAATTTGTGGCTATGATCACGAACACATAAACAAAATAATTTCCGATTCATTTTCGTTCGTTTACAAAATTACTTTGTCATGTTCGTTTATTAAGATGCTAAACAAACATAAATAAACGAATATAAACAAACGTAAATGAACGGATTTAAATGAACAAACATGAACAAAGATAAATGACCATTACCATCAAAATGAAAAACCTTACACAAATACTGATGGGTTTTAGGTACAACAAATAAACTAGAAAACAATTCTTAAGTTCACATGCAACCTACTTGGATCTATGTTTTAACTATTGAACATACAACTTTGAATTGCAAAACAAGAACCCTAGAGGAGAGAGGCTAATTTCGAAATTAACAAACTAGGGTTTAGGGTTTACATACCTTTCAATTGTTATAGCAAACAATTGATATTCCCTTGATCTTGATCTTGATCTTCTTGGAAGCTTTAGCACCACAAGTGTAATGCCTCTAATGGAATCACACCCAAACTAGCAAGAAGGAAAGTAGAAGAGAGAGGGGAGAGGGAGTATGCAAAATCTCGGCCTTAGGGTTTCTTCAAAAGAAAGAGTGACCAAAAACATGAACCAGGAGGCTCCTTATATAGCTGAGGGATCTAGGGTTTAAGGAAAACCCTAGTTATCGTTTGCTTAGGGCCTAAGCAAGATCCAAGGGCCTTATCCAAGCCCCTATGGACGAAATTATTAGGGTTTCCCCTAAAGATTTCGTCCACCCTCTTCCAAGGGGGTTCTAGAGCCTTCCACTCAACTATTAGATAATTGCAAACTAGTCCCTGCACCTTATAATTAATTCTTTTAACCCCAAAATCAATTCTGATTAATTTCTGACTAACAATTAATTAAACATAATGATTTCTAATTAATATATTAATCCATTAACATATTAATAAATCATATATATATATATATTAATTTATTAATCTTATAAATTAATATCTCTCCTTTCATAATTTCCTTGTCCAGTTGCTAGGTTGAGGGCAACCCAAAAGGATTGTGCTGCTATCAATTCAAGTACATACCAATTATAGTTATGGGCTTAGACACCTAATCCAACAAATACATGTATTCTTGTTCGTTTATCTGTTCGGTTAAACATAAACGAACGAACATCAACAAGCCTCGTTCCTTTTCGTCCGGTTCGTTTACAGTCCTAGCGTATCTAAACAAGTATCATGCTCACAAATAAAATAACAAACATAGATTTGAGAAATGCTATTTAAAAATTATGATCCATGACCGCTATTCTATAACCGCAATACCAGCTTAGATTGCGTATATATGATTTTTAACCGATTTTGATATACGGAGGTTGTCGGTGTGGACGACTACATGTTTTTCTTTTAATTTTTGCCTTAAAAGTTTAAATAATTTTGTTATTTATATATAGTTTATTCTAGAACCACAACCACAGTTTCAATATGAAACCATGTTTATTCTCTTCGATTTTGTGTCTCAAAGTCAACCCGAATTTATTCGCCAAACTCAATTCAAAACCGAAGTCGAACCCAAATTCGTTCGGGAAACTCAACCTAAAAGAAAAGTGAAGGCCCCGAATAAACCTTGAGAACCGCTAAAAGTGACGACATTGGCACATGCATGGGTCGATATATCGAAAGAGGTTAAAGTGGGCAACGACAAAAAACATGAATATTTTTGGAGACAAGTTCTTAAACATTTCCACAAAGAAATAAAGTAAGGAGAATATCATACGAAAGACCAAATGTATTCCAAATGGGGGAAGACAAACAAGGAAGTCATGTTATTTAATGATTTGTATAATAATATGAAATATCAATGGCAAAACGAAGAAAGTGATGACTTGATTTCAAGAAAGTGCTAAAAGTGTACCAAAAAGAAAACAAGAAACATTTCTCATTTGTTGAGTTTTGTCTTGTGAAAGATAACGAAAAATGGAAAAGAGTAAAAACATATGACCAACACGTTGGTAGTGGTTCCATACAATCAACGTTCAAATCCGACTACACTACATCAGGTGTTCGTGTTGGAATCAAGATATCATTCAAATGTAACATCCCAAAAATCATAAAAAAAAATTTTGTTTTTAAATATAATACTTATAAAACCATTTACTGAAAAACAACATCATCATCATTTCAAATCATCAACCATAACCACATGTCTCAAAAATCATAACATAAAGTAGTAATAATGTCAGAGTACAAATCCCATGGATCTCAAAATGCGGAAATCATGTGTGTGCGATGCGCTGCTACCGTGTCGGCTCCTTCCCCTTCGACGAAGAGGTACCTGAAACCAAAACTGAAAACTGTAAGCACAAAGCTTAGTGAGTTCCCCCATCATACCACATACCAACAACATACATACTGCCGAGCGATTCTGGGGTGCCCGACCTACCCATGTCAAGCAGTTCTGGGGCGCTGACTTACCCATGTCAAGCAGTTCTGGGGCGCTGACCTACCTATGTCAAGCAGTTCTGGGGTGTTGACCTACCCATGTCAAGCAGTTTTGGGGTGCTGACCTACCCATGTCAAGCAGTTCTGGGGCGCTGACCTACCCATGTCAAGCCGTTCTGGGGTACTGACCTACCCTTCGGTCCTAACGATTGAACTCGGGGACTACTCCCATCCTACTACCACTAACACATACAACATATCATGCTAGCACATAAAACACATCAGGTAGTAGCAAACCTAGATAATTATCACAAAGACAATCATCTATCAACAGCTCCTGCTAG